AAACTCTCCAAAAAAAAAAAAAAAAGAATTACTTTATTTAACTTCATTTATTTATTTATTTTTATTTAACCAGAGAGAAACATAGCAAGCAAGTGAGAGAGAGAGGAAGTGAAAAAGCAAGTTGCCAGGTCTGGGACTCGAACCATGGTCAGCCATGTGGGAGTCCAGCACCCTTAATCACCATGCCACCCGCTGGCCCCTCTTTTAACTTTTTTCCATGTCTTTTTACTTCTCAACTTCTGAGAGGTTTTTGCTATAGAGCATGTGCACTCGCCAGAAAGACAGAGAGACAGAAAGCAAGAAATCACCCCCCAGGGAGGATGGCCATGCCACAATCCCTTCTCCTTCATTCTCCTCATGGGATCTTGGGCATGCATGCACATGCGCCCGGGTCCAGGACTCGAATCACGGTTGGCTACATGGGACTCCAGTGATATAGCCATAACACCATCTGATGGTCCCACAATAAAACAATTTTTTGGAGAGATTTTTGCTATAGGGCGTGTGCACTCACCAGAAAGACAGAGAGACAGGAAAGCCCCCCCCCGGGGGGATGGCCACGCCACAATCCCTTCTCCTCCATTCTCCTCTCGGGATCTTGGGTATGCATGCACAGGTGCCCGGCATGAGTTTAAGCCACTGGTTCCGGGACTCAAACTGTGGTCAACTACATGGGAGTCCAGCAACATAGCCATTACACCAACTGCTGGTCCCTATTTCATGATTTTTCTATAGGTAGATTCTAAAAAGTAAAAATCAGTAAATTACTTTTATATTATCCCGATTGCTGACCCAACATCCCCCCTTTTGACTTACAGATCTCTGATCTGGTTTGGGATGTCAGGATGTGCAACTAAATCTCATTTTCCCAGTCCCCTTTGCAATTTGGAGTCACCAATGAGACAAGAGTAGACATCCACAGAGGAAGTTCTGAGATGAATATTGTTGACCTGTCCCTTCTTCCTTCTTCCTGCATTAAAAGTGGAGCTGGTAACCAGAGTAGCAACTTTTCAAGCCTAAGTTTTGGGGATTTCTGAGCCCCCAAGCCTGTTGTACTCTGTAGAGCAGAACAGTTCTTCGCTCTGTGCACTTTCTAGGCTGTGCTGTCTCAGCTCTCTGTGATCAATGACCACTTTCTCATCTGTCTTCCATCTTTTAGAAAGTGTCTGAAATCTCTCATTTTGGATGACCTTTGAAATGTTTTCTTTGTGTGTGTGGGGGGGGGTTTATATTTCCCTCCCCATTTTGCTCTCGTTTAACTGAGGGGTGAGATCCCTGTAAGAACATAGGCTGCCAACTTGAGCCTGTATCATAATCCCTTAGGAAAATTCGATCTTACCAATATAGGAAGCATTGTGCTTTGTAAAGCTGTTAGGAATAATAGGCTTTCATTTGCCAGAATAAAAATCATTGAAGGAGTCCAGCAGTTGGCGTAGTGGTTAAGATGCTGGACTTGCACATGGCTGGCCTTGATTTGAGTCCCAGACCTGGTGGCTTGAAAATCATGCTGGGCACTTGTACATGTGTGCCCAGTATCCCAAGAGGAGACTGGAGGAGAAGGGATTCCTGCATGGCCATCCCCCCAGGGGGTGATTTCTCTCTTTCCTTCTCACTCACTGTCTCTTTGTGTCTCTCTCTGGCAAGTACATATGCCCTATAACAAGAATTGCTGGACATCTTTCAGAGTTCCCAGCATTATGTGTAGTACTTGCTCCATCACGGCCTTGCAAGGTCATTTCACAGGTGAGGAAACTGAAGCACTTTTAGTAAAGGAACCAGAACTCTATTATACATGGTGTATATATTTCCAATAAAAAGTATGCTCCATTTCATGTACAGTGATTAAATGTAAATTTTTTAAATGTTAAATAAGTCAGTACATAAATATTTTTTAAAAAGATTGTCTTGATTTTAATCTATGCTTTTTTCTTTTACTGATTTCTTTTGTTGAAGTAATGCAAGTACCTAGTACATGATTTGAAAGGTATAAGTGGATATATAGTGAAAACAATTTTCATCTTACCCCATCAACTCCTCCCTTATGTCACCTTGAAGAGATTGTATATGCATTTATCATCAAGCATGAATACATTCATTTTTTTTCCACTATATACACTGATGCCAGCATATCCTTCCTCCATTGTTTTTGTTTGTTTGTTTGTTTGTTTTTGTTTGTTTTCTGAACAATGTATCCTCAAGGTTGCCCTCAGAACCTCCCTTTCATGGCTACATGTGAGTTTTGTTTTTTTTTTTGAGAGGCTTTTGCTATAGGGCACGTGCGCTCGCCAGACAAACAGAGAGAGACAAAGAGACAGAAAGCGAGAAATCACCCCCCGGGGGGGGGGATGGCCATGCTGCAATCCATTCTCCTCTCAGGATCTTGGGCACGCACGCACACATGCCCGTCGTGAGTTTAAGCCACTGGGTCCAGGACTTGAACCGCGGTCGACTATGTGGGAGTCCAGCACCATAGCCATTACGCTAACTGCTGGTCCCCTCATGACTACATGTGAGTTTTTTGAAATTCTAGTTGCTAGACAAAGAAGTTTCCCTTTCTCAGTACTTACCTCATTTGAGGTCATACAATAGCCAACTCTTATCAGAGTTTCCACAAATCCCTTAGGAAGGATGCAGGAGGACAACCATTGTAGTGCAGAAGCAGTGCAGCACTTTGCAATGCTGAGAGTAGAGGAGAAATTCTTGGGTTCATGTCTTGAGGCCTCCCTGTGCATGCCAAGTGCACATGCATGTGACCATGATCCAAGCTTACTTAAGCTGGGAGTGGATCACAGTGTGGGGACCCTGTTGGAGGTGTGCGTTGTTTCTCTCTCATAGAAAAAATAAAGTTAAAAACAATGAGAAAGGATGTAGTAAAGAGCACCCTTTGGGCCAGCTGGAGACATGGTGGTTAAGGTGACTGGATCCTGCATGACCGACTGGTTCGTGTACTGGACCCAGTGACGTGAGAAACACACTGGGCATGTATGTGGGTTTATGCCCAAAATCATGAGAGAAGAAATTGCTGTGTGACCATACTCCACTGGAAGTGCTTTCTCAACTTCCATCACTTTCTCTCTCTCTCTGAGTACACATGCCCTTTGACAAAAATTAAAAATAAAAAGTCCATGGGGCCAGCAGATGGCATGAAGGTACAGGCAGCTGGATCTCTCATGACTGACTGCATGGTTAGAGTCCCAGATCCAGTGGTGTGAGAATCACACTATGCGCATTTGTGTGCATGCTCAGAATCTTGAAAGGAGAATGGAGGGGACAGGATTACAACATGGCCATCCCCCGCCACACACACACTGGATGATTTCTCATTTTCCGGGTATTTCTCTCTGGTGAGCACATGCACCCAATATCAAACTTGAGAAACAAATAAACAAACAAAACTCACTATAAGACATGTGTCTATCCACAGGTCTCTACTCCAGACCTTCTTGTCTTCCATCTTCCAGTCCTTTTCCTTGTAGGTGCTTGGCTAGGCCCCTGGGCTCTGCTTAGGAAAGTATTTATTTCCAACAGGTGCCACTTCTTCCCCACAAAGTGTACTATGAAGTAAACTACTTAACAGCTATGCTTCTCGGGAAGCTCTTCCCTCCCCACTGTCTTTGAGAGTCAGCCCTGGATGTGGCTGGAATGTAGCTGCTATTCATTTTTCAGATTATACCCAGATACCAAACTGGCCTTTCCATAAACCAAGCTCCAGCTGGCCATATTGCTTTTGATTAATACTTTGTTGGGAGACTTAGGAACATTTTCATAGGTTTCTAATTGGCCTTTGCCACTGTGATAGCTCTCACTCTGAGCCCTGCACAACTGCAAGTCATAGATTAGTAAGATTTGGAGCAAAGGAGACTGAGTGCTTCCAGGAGAAGAGAGTGATTATCTGTGGTTATCTGTGGGCTTCACACACATTGTGGAGCAGAAGTAGCCATTTCTTCACAATAGTACTTGGTTTCCATTGGGTGGCCATGCCACAGTTTATCATCCTAGTATTGGTAATTTGATACTGTTCATTGCTCATTGGTATCCAATTGCAATTGGTTACACATTCTCCTGTGGATGAACACTGGGTTGTTTCCTCTTTTTGGCTGTTATGAACACAAAGGTATTAGGGACACTTGTTTACAAGGCTTTTTGTGAGCATGCTTTTTTTTTTTTTCTCTTGAGTGAATCCCTAGGAATAGGATTGCTGGGCAGCAGGGTAAGTGTGTACTTAACTTTAGAAATTGCCTGATTGGGAACCAGCAGATGGCATAATGGTTTTGTATCTGGATTCCCACGTAGTCAACTGTGGTTCAAGCCCTGGACCTGGCAGCTTAAAACATGCCAGGCACTTGTGCGTGAGTGCTAAAAATCCCGAGAGCAGAATGGAGGACAAGGGACTGCAGTGTGGCCATCCTCGCAGGGGGTGATTTCTCACTTTCTGTCTTTCTGGTGAGTGCATGTGCCCTATAGGAAAATTCCTCTCAAAAAAGAAAAAAGAAAAGAAAAGAAAAGAAAAGAAAACAAATTACCAGACTACCTTCCACAGTGGCTACAGCATTTAGCAGTATATGGTGTCTTCTATCTTTTTCATTTTAGCCATCCTAGTGGGTATGTAATAGTATCCTATTGTGGTTTAAATTTGCATTTCCCCAATGAGAGTGATGTTGAGCCGTTATGCATGAGCAGCTGGGTCTTGTGTCACCAAAACAGAAAAGGCCATTGGAATCAGTGCTCACTTCTCTCTCTGCTGTCCTCTGCTGCTTCCTCCCATCGTGAGTTAATTTAGACCTACCCTGGACCTTTGCTATACAGTGTGTGTGTGTGTGTGTATGCATGTATGAATTTTCAGAGCCTTTTGGATTTTAGAATTGCAGATGATGGACTGACTGTGGGCCTTTGCTCCCAATTTCATACATTGTTCTGCTGTTTTGACTTGACAGGCTGTGTCACACCAGTTGAATGCTGTGACCGAAGACATGTACACCAATGGGTCTGCTGCCCCAGGTATTCCTGCCCAATCCAAAGGACAGGAGCTGCGAAAAGTGCGCCTCATACAATTTGAGAAGGTCACAGAGGAGCCCATGGTAATCACATTTCATATCATCACTTATCACTTACACCCCACCCCATGAGTCAGAAACATTCCACATTGAGCTTATGGTGCCACTGCCTTTATTCCAGGGAATCACTCTGAAGCTGAATGAAAAACAGTCCTGTACAGTGGCCAGAATTCTTCATGGTGGCATGATCCATAGACAAGGTACTTTTTTTGAGGGGGTGGGGGAGTCTTAGGTCTTGTTTGATTCAGGAATTAATCAGTTACTCCCTATCTGATGGAGTGAGACATGAAGCTTATGATCCTCAAAACTAGTAGCATTTTGGGGAATGTGCCAGGATTTTCCTTGTGTGTGTGGATTAATAACTGGTTATTTAGAATAATTGCAGGATAGCATTTTAGTAAGAATTACCCAATGCTACCAT